TATATATATATATATATATATTTCCATTTCTTCCCATCACGTCCCATGCATGAACACAGGCAGAAGAGAAGGGGGTGAGGCCAAATATATATATATAACTTTTTCCCTAATATTTATGGAGTCAGTACAGGTTTGAAAACTTTCCTAAAAACATTCAATATTGTGTCCAGAAATGTTCAAATGTTTATTCTATCCACTAATTTATTCTCTCACTCTCCCACTCTTTAGATCCATTTCCTGACCTATTGCTTTTGTTGATAATTTGGTGACTTTTTCTTTATTCCATTTCCTTGGTTTTAATTATACGTTCAATAATATATAAAATAAATAAATAAATCCAACACCCTGCATGGAAATGTCACAAAATTATATTTATTTGACTTCATTTCAGAGACTAAAACATGAATATACTTTTGTTATTTCAACATTGTTCTTTTACACCAAAAGTAAAGGGAAGAGATTTTAGTCCCGTAAATTAGCCGACGTAATTAGACCACATAACCATTACTCAGATTTTTTGACAACTTCCTTTCTAATGCTATTAAAACTTTTGCTTTTCTCAGCAAATCAAAAAAAAAAAAGTTACAATAACCCTAAACAGCACCTTCTCAAGCCATAAAAGTTCTCTCATTTTTGCTCTCTCGGCAAACCTCTGAACATTTCTGCCACACTTGAGCTTGTCAGCATTTCGGATGCTGCAGCCCTGAATGATCCCGAAAGGACCAAAATGCTGGACTTGCAGAAACAGATCAATGCGGTCTGTCCACACCCGAGACCCTATTTTAAAGATTTAGTGCCGATTTTCACGTTACCTCAGACTCCGTGAGCAACCTTATAGTCCCCAGGAGCTGAAACCCAGGGCTCGACTCTTTCCGACACACCGAGACATTAAATGCCATCGCGGCAGTTCACACTGACACAATAACACACGTGAATCATGGAACCGTGACACGTTTAAGCACTTTGAGGGACACGAGCACACAATGGTCCAAAATGAAACCTGACAAATGTTACACCACGGAGCTGAGTCTAATCAATGTGAATTGAATTAAACATAGGTAATGCATCTCCATCGCCGTTTTCATCTGTCCAATAAGTTTCCCAAACTGATCTTGAGCAATCGTTCTCATGGCTCCGTGAAGGGGGGTTTAAACTATTTATTTTATCTTCTTCACTGACATCAAATGATACAAACAGAAAGAGTGGTGTACAAAAAAATAATCTTTTATTGCAGCAGGATAAGTATAATTGTTTCAAACAAAGTGAAAATGACTGGTGCCCATTAACAATACCCAGCGTCTAGGTACTTTTCATTAGTAATCGTTGTCTTCACGGTTTTCTGGGTTATAAATGTGACGTGACACAGATTTCCTTGCGCTAAATCAAAGACGATTACTAAAAACAGAATTAGGTTTCAATAGGGAATTGAAATTTGAGAATGTGGTTGATCAGTTAAATAGTAACGAGGGGAAGGAGAAGGTTTTTTGTTTTATGAAAAATACTGAACTCGTCGGGAGAATTTGAGGAATAAGTAGTAGGATCCAACAGATGGCAGTAGCGCAACAATAATGAATGCAAGCTGCCTTAAAATTTAAAGAAGAAGGAGAAGGAGAAGAAGAATCTTTGCTTTGAAACAAAAGAATCTACCATTCAGTAAGTCAAATATGTGTTGACTTTTTGGAAATGATTAGAAGTGTTTGAAACAGTAGCAGTCCCACATTACAAATGAGCTCAATCTCCAATTTTGGTAGCAAATCAGAAGTAGCTAGTAGCATAATAGCTGCTAACACATTGAATATGTTAGCAACAGCTAGCTGATGCTAAGTTAATGTGACAGAATCATTATAAGGAAGGGGCAGACGGGATGCTTAAAATAACAGTTTAATCAGTAATGTGGCTCATTCTGTGAAAAAGCAGACAGGTGGCTCTTATTTAAGCCAACTTTATTCATAAGCACAGATGACCGCATGTTATAGAAAAGCATTAAAACACAAACACAAGATGACACACAGAATATCTTAGAAAGCAACTTGAACAATGAAAATTAGCAGTCTTATGTCTACTTATGGATGAAGGTGGCCAGTGTTGTACATGTTTGCTATAGAGAATTCCCCTCTGCAAATCTGAGTAAAATGGGTCATTGCAGAAGAGCCGAGCACTTTCACAAACAATCGATTGGCCGGGGGAAAATCTACGTGCAGGAAATGACGAGCTGCTCAGCCTAAATGTTCTCAGATGCTTTAAGATGGAAAGCAAAACTAAAAAAAAGCTGCAGAAGAAAACCAAAAACTACACTACACTTCGAATGGATTTAAGGATACCCAAGGTGCCAGTGGTTATGCAACTCAAAATTAGCTCAGTGATTCAAGGGGATGTTAAATAGTCAAGCATTGTTTAGATTATATTACAATGAACGTTTTGTATTTACAAAAAAGAAAAACAGACAGAGCCTTTCCCAACTGACTGCAGAGGGATATAAATTTAGATAAATATTCATTCTGTTTTTCCTTGGAACAGTATTAGTATTCCTAATGCATTTGTATGTAAGAGAATAAAAAGCATTATACAGATTTTGCTCTCTACTGACTTTTTTAAAACACACTGGTATAAAATCGAACCCAACTGTTTCTGGCTGCTCATCTGATCTTTCACTTATAGTCAGAGGAATCATTAAAATGATCAATGATGCTGTGGGCCTGTTTCTCTTCCAAAGACCCAGGGATTTTCATTAGAGTGCACGAGGTCATGAGTTCTTTGAAATAGATAACCCAGCGGCCTCCAACAAAAAACACCGCATAACACGTCATCAAATTTGACCAAATAAACAGATCTCCTTTACCAAAGACAAAATCAGCCTCCTTTCCAGATGTAAATTAAAAAGAAAACGTGTGGGATGAACTAAAGCGAAGACCCAGTACTCTTGATGATTGAGGTTTTGCAAAGAGGAATTCTCAAATTTTCCTTGTTTTCTCTGTAAAACACCATAAATGTTGAGTTAGCGCTTTCCTAAAGACAAAAGTGATGCTGTCGAGATGTATGGGATAAAACGTTCTTTTTTTTTTTTTTTTTTAAAAAGAAAAAGGAAAAAAAATCTGTGTTAAATTATGCTACTGCAATAAAAGATTAATTTAATTCTAAGGCCTTGCTCTAAAAAGTGTTGCCAATAATTCTGGAGAGTGCTATAAACTTTATGGGACTCTTTTTTCCAAGAGAAAAATGGGATAATCAAAAAAAAAAGGAGCCAGATATTCAGAAACCCCCTCATTCATTATACCTGAAATAAATCATAAAAATAGCATATCAAGCTAAAACTGTAGAGCTCAGCACTTCTACAATAAAAAGAAAAGAAGAGGGAAAGCCTTTAAACCACATTCTCCAATGAGTCAGTCCTCGTCAGCTTGTCAGAAGGCGTTAATGGTTTCCGGGTTTCAGTGTCGCAGAGCTCTGGAGTGCGCCCTAGTTTAACAAAGCAACGCCACTTTGCCAATTAAAATGTGCCAATTATCTCAAGATCCTGTGATGGCTCTTCAGCAAACACTCATCACCATGGAAAAGACATTTTGGTAATTCATAAATGAGCATTCTGACATCGCCTCAAACACGCAAAAATGTCCAAACTAAATGGTTCTAATGTAAATTGACAATTAAACGTGACCTAATACAGAGCTAAAAAGTTAGAATCTGTCAATTTAAGCGTTTAAATTGACGGTATGCTTTGGGAAACAGCAGCTTTTCATCTAGCACGACCGAACGAGCCGCCTGACGAACTTGGACTTTGAGCGGTGCCTCTTCGGGCAGCGGCAGACTCACCTCGTCCACGTTCTCGAAGGCGTTGATGACATCATAGGGCAGGCAGGAGAGCAGGTCGATCACAAACCAGGTCTTCAGGTAGTTCATGCGGATCAGCTTGGGGTCGGAGATGACCTCGCCGGCGGGCCCCACGAACGTGGTGTGAAAGTTCAAGACGATGTCCACCAGGAAGATGACGTCCACGATGCTGTCCACCACCAGCCAAGCCACGTTGTTCTGCTTCGTCTTGAAGGAGACGTTGTAGGGCACCATGATAGCCGTGTAAAAGGTGAGGATGAGGATGACCCAGTCCCATGTGGTCTTAAAGAGGCAGTAGTGCAGGATGATGTGAGGAGGGGTTTTGGGGGTCTCCTGTTTGTACTGAGGTAGGATGTCAGAGCCAAGTTGCAGCACCTGCAGGGCGCAACGGGGAAGACGTCAGCGAAAAATACACACATTTGTCCCTCTTGACTAACATGTGCTGCACCTCAGGGTTGAAGCCGGTCTTACCTCAGCGAGACGAGAGTGCTTATGGACATTCTCTCCTTTATGAACTGTAGGTTGTAGCTGCTGTAAGACTCCCCTGCTGCTTGTTAGCGCTCGAGTCAATCGGGCAAACTTCCCCCAACCTGGAGTTCACACAAACAGATTGTAGGTACTGCATGTTTCCAAGAACATGTCTTTGAGTCCTAGGAGTCCTGGCTTTGAGAAGCCTCTCTTTCTACTGCAGAAATCCTACTCACCAATAACCGGTACAAAGCATTAGTAGCGTCTCTTTTCCCCATTTTCACGTCCAGGCAACAGATCTCTGTCTGTTTCCAGACAGGTTAGCAAAGCATAAAAAGTTCTTTTCATTAACATTACCAGTCCTCTAGGAGGTCTACATTTTGTACAGTTTCCCCCTGATGTTTGAGATTATTACTAAAAGCTAACAGTGATTTGGCCTCTCTTGTGGCTGCACCAAATTTCTAGTGCAGTTTACAGATCCACATTCAAGCTACCTGTACTCTAATCACTTCGAACTTTCTCAGTTCTTTAGGGTTCAATTTGAGTGCATCTATTTATTTTATCATATTTCATGTATTCCTTTTCATTTCCTGTTTTATATTTCCCCGTCTTTGTAAAACCTTAGGTACCAATTATAGCAATTCCAAGTCTTTCAGAATGTAATAAGCTACAGCATGGAAAACTTACCTTGCTAGACAGTCATTAAATATTAGTATTAAAACCAGGAGAAACGTCACGTCAGTGAGAGAGTAGCCGCTGCAAAATGGATTTTAAAGCAAAGATGAAGTGACTCTGAACCTGATGATTTCAATTCCAGGTATTTCGTATTAGTAATGTTTCGGTATAAATGTTAATGTGTTTGTTTTGTTTTGTTTTTTTCTTATGTCATTCTGAAGTTGATTGCTGAACAAATGTGAACTGTTGGGTCTAACCTTTGGAAGAATCGTCCTCAATGGGCTGCTTGAAGGCTGTGATGTCGCTGAACGTACAGAGGAACAGAACCACTTTCTCTTGTTCGTTTCGAATGGGAGCAATTTTCACAAAAAACCAAACCGGCGTCCCTGAAAACAGAACACAAGTTTAGCTGCGTCATCGGCTTTCGTTAGGAGGAAATAGCCCTTTATTAGAAAATAACACAACTTGTTGAATGAGTGTAAAAAGAAATTATAATCTTTAATTCAAAGTTCATTAAAGTTTTGAGTCAAATTTTCTCATTTTGTTTACTTTACAAATGAAAAGTGATGTCAGAATAAAACTATTTGCTTTCACTTCAAGCTAATTTAAAATAATAAAATAAAGGTAATTATTTATAGATCAAGTGTAGAGTGGTTGAATCATCAGAGTAAACAACTCCGGTTAGATCAACTTATAGAAACTTACATTTTTATCTTCAGACAAGGAAAAACTCTGAAAATTTTGATATACTTTATATACTCCTTTTTCTTCTCATAATTAACCAGACTTAGAAAACACTTTTAAAATATTTATGTTTTTCTAATAGACTTGGGTTTAATTAATTTCAATCAGATTGTTAAATAAATTAGCCATGAAAAATGTTTATCTTCAAATAAGCAACATCAGATCTGCCTACATTCACTCTGCACAAGTTAAACCACTAAGTAAGACATAAATGCACTGTGAAGTTTTTGTGATAGTTTTGTCAAATCAAAGGGGAAAAAGTTAATAAAACAACAAACCTGGGAGAAGATACTTTGGTTCATTCAGGAAGTATTTTTAAAAACAGTTTAAACTAATTTAAGTCAACTCATTCCACAGATTTCTTAATTATTAAAGAAATCCATGTAACTTTGGAAGTATTTCAAATTTATATCAAGAAATATTTATTATCTGATTTTATATGCAAGCAATAAAAAGCTTAAAAGACTATTTTCATTCATCGGTTTTACAGTGGGCCTCGGTTCGCCTTTTGTATCACAGTTTTTTCCATTACATAATAGGGACTGTAATATTGTATTAGTCTACACCTGCATGTTGAAACAAACAGCACCATATTCTCCTTTGGAAGGTTTTCCAGTTCCAGTCTGGCTCTTAAACCAATTAGCACATTTCTACAGACGCCGAAATGTTCTGGGCTGCCTTTGAACTCCGGCTCCACGCCGCACAAGCCCCGAGTGCATTTGCATTACAAAGGAGAGGAGACTCTCGTTTCTCTCTTCCTTCACATTTGCCACCGCTACTTACTGTTCTTCTTGTACATCAGGATTTCAAATGAGTTCATCTCATAATTCTCAAACGTTAGTCGGACTTTTTCCGTCGTGTCCTTGTCGGTGAGCTCCCCGTACATAAAGCTGAAAAGAGGAGAAAGAGAGGGGAGGGGGGGATAAAAAAAAAATAGTACATTCAGTGGACACCTCTATGAAGATTGCTGAGCAAAGCTAAATTTATGACTGTATCTAAGAAGCTTTTTTTGTTTGTTTGTTTGTTTGTATATGTCAGTTTGGAAAAAGGATGTGAGGGGATGAGCTATTTCTCTTCTTTTTTTCTTTTTTTTTTCTCTTTGTCCACAAATGACAAAATGCAGATCAGGTTCCTAATCAGCTCTGCTGTCAATTCCAGACAAGTGCCACCTTCAAGCTGCCAAATTTGCCCTCATCAATTCCAAATGAGCAGCTGCTTCTGCCATCATTATTGTTGTAAACTCTCTGGAGACTCTCTGCTAAATGTAAAATGTCTTTGCATCATGCAAAATATGCCACATTTTCAGTTGTCATAGGCTATTACTGGAAGCTACTGGTTTCAGTGTGTTTGCACATTTCCCCCCCCCTATTTGTCAGTTAACCATAAACATCAAAAAGTTTAAAAGTTGCGCATTGAGGTCACTTAGAGTCAGTTTTCAGGTTCACCCTCCAGGCATAAAGCTGGAACAAATGTTTGAATCTTATACAATAAACACATTTTTATTAAATGAAGTGAAATCTTGTTACACATTGGTTTTATCTTTTATTTTCTCTGTCTTCTGTTTCTTTTTTAACATTATAAAATAAGCCAGTACATATAATGTAGTATGAGTCACATTCAGTGAGTCTTAAAAATCATTTTTTGTTTTTAGCTATGTTTTCTATCAACGTTTTGCACAGCCTGGCGTAGGACAGGTGGTGAAGGGAAACCAGAAATCAGGAAAGTTCCTTCACTCAGTTTAATGAAACCATATCAAGCAGTGTCTGTGCAGCAGATTGAATGTACATGAAGAAAAATGACACTTCTGGTTTTACAATGATTTATTCAGGAGAATATTAATTGTGAGAGTGAGAATTGGTCAAACTGCTTAACTTCTCTAAGTGTGAACTAATCACTCTACTAATCTACTGATCTGAGAGAACAGATTCTTCTACTTATATTTCAACACCTGTTAGTTACGGGCTGCTGAAAACCTTGAAGCTAAAAAGAAAGTAAAAAATCATTAATGCACTGTGTAGTGAAATCTTCCAGCTACCAGTTTGTAAATTAAGCAAATAAAACAAAAAAAATTAAATAAACAATCAGAAGGCTACATGCACTCATAATCAATATTAATGTCTACTTAAGTCTGGGCTTAAAATGATGTTTTGAACTATTATTTTCCAACAATGTTTGAAAGAACATTTTGAGGAGGCAAGATGAGGTTTTCAAATTTAGCTAAACGATCAATTGTCAAGTATCATGCTAAGAGTGTGTTTCACTATTTGTACTCCCTACTTATTCAACAGCTGGTTGATTAAAACATTTATACAGCTTAGTGTTCCAACAGGACAATGTTGTGAAAACCTGTTTAAAAGTTGAAAAAAAGATCAGGAAAAAAAAAAAACATTCAAAATAAAGCCATTAAACCAATCCATTTAAATGAGCTTCTGATTAGTGGAGCTCTCGACTATCCAGCCAGAACCTTGATGGCAACAGGAAGCGTACATTTTCTTTGCAACTTCCAAAAGTAACTGGGCGTGAAAGAGTGGAACCGCATTTACTTTAGCTGCGTTGTAATTCACTTGCTTTGTCAATGAGCTCAGGCCAAGACAACAGACCATCTCTCAAATCTGAAATGTCTTGAAAACCAAACAGCAGACAATTTTAATACAACCACCAGAGTTTAAAGGTAGGAAACCAAAGCGGTTGCCTGTTCCATCTGCAGACTAGACTGAATTTATACATAGACACAAACTCACTGAAATGTACCACGAAACAATAAAACGGTAAGCCATCTGTGATGTCTAATTGACAAAACGAGCCTCTTGAATAGGAGTTTGACCTAAAGATTGTCTTCAGCCACGCTCCAGAGGGATTCATCTCACTTCGTGTGTTAGTGCTGCCTTAAGCAGCAGTTTCCAGCATGATCTAAATATATCTTGTTATGAAATACAAAAGGAGGCCCGTATCTAATAAGACAGTCTGACGCTTTCCGAGTGGCGCTTGATGTAATAACGCTGATTAATGTCGCCCCTTTCTCGTTCTGTCTTTTCTTTGCCGGAAGGAGAGCGACTTTCTTCAAAGAAAAAACATATTGCATAATAATTTCTGAAACAACTTCCTTGTCATGTGTGGAAATTCCCAAAGGTCTGCCACGGTGTTTACAAGATCCAGCACGGATATAAAAAAAATAAAAAAAATAAAAAAACATCACGGATACACAGGAAGATCAGTTAAGATGGAAATAGCCTCTTTGATCTCAACACATCTGCAGCACATGGGGAGTTAGGTTTTGGACTCAGGGAGGAGGAGTATACATTTAATGTTTGCATCATGCTCAAAAACATCCAAGAGCCACAATGAGTGAATATTTTATGGCCGCACAACGAGGCTCAAAAAGATGGCTTCAGACAGAAGCTAAAAAGGACTCAAAGACCATGTGATGATTAAAGCCAGAGGGAAATGTTTGAAGAGAAATGAAAGCAAAAAGTGAAACTTTCTGAAAGACTGTTTATTAAAAACTAATTAAAGGTTGGAAATTCCACAAATTATGCATATCATTCAAAATCTACCTCTACAGAGTTTCATTTGGAGAATTCGTACTCAAAACTTCACAAAAGCATGTGAAGCCGAAGGAAAAGAAATGACAATCCGGGTGCAAACAATATAGCTAATATAACTGTGTATGACACTATAATGGCTTCTTCTAGTGTGTGTAAATGTCTAGTTTTGAAGAGAACAATAAAATGTGCCTAGAAACATTATTAGTCTCATTATTCTGAAATTAAGCCAACAGATGCACTTTTTTCACCTCTGATACTGATACTGATACAGATATCTGAAGTTTGGCATCGTCCGATACCGATCCAATAAAACATCGCTAAATTGACTTTAAATGTTTCTTTAAAATAAAACAAAATACTGAACTATGTACTGAAGTACAAATTTATTTGAGAAGTCTACACTTTTACAGGCACACTAAAATATACCAATGTCAGTAGAACATTGGTATTTTAAGTGGAACAGCCAATGTCAAATAAATAAACTGACAAAAACAACAGGCTGACTATCTTGGTCAAAGATATAAAAAATAAACTGCAACAAAACTTTCTTTCAAATAGTTCAGCAAGTGCAATTAGGAATTCTCAATATATTGTAAAATAAATAAAGCATTCAGAGCACAAAGAATAGACTTAGTCTCAATTCACTCACCCTTATGGTTCGGGCACTTTTTCACCGATACCCGATGTAGAATTTTTTTCAATATCAGGACCAATACAGATATTAATGTTGGGTTATTGGTAACCATAACAGACAATGTAAATATCTGGTCTCATCTCTATTTGTCCCAAAATCAGAGGGTTATCTCTGGAAAACAAGATGCAGCAAGAACAGTGAATGCTCATTAACTGTACCCAAGTTCGGCACTGGTTGCTGGGAGACGGAGAAGACATCCAGGATCTCTGCAGGGGTTTTTTTTTTTCTTTTTTCCCAAGGTGCAGACTGGAATCCAGGATGTATCTGTCAAGCTGTCAGATGAAAGCTTAAAGTGCTACTTTAACTGACAGGATGAGGAGGACAAACGTGCAGCTGCTCAGAGGATGCAGGGTCATAATAACTTGCACTTTTGAGAGCATAGGCTCACGGAGGAGCCGACGCATAAAGGGAGCAATCTTACAGTCAATTAGCATGTTGGGTAGAGGTATGCAAAAAATCTATGGGGTGTTTGCAATGACGTCACAAAATGTACCCACAGCCCATCGTGTCAGAGGACAAGATGTAAGTGTATCAGTAGCAGCCAATTTTGAAGTATCACAAAACTGTGAGAATCAAAAGCGGTTATTAGGAGAGGAGAGCACAGCTCAGAAGCACAATGTGGTGTCTCATTGCTAGCGATATCTTCTTATCACTCTGTTCTGTACGTCCTTCAGAGAGGCGGACAAGTAGTTAACTGATGCGCTAATGCTATCACCCTATTTTAACACCGTGTCTTTTTAAGACGGCCACAGAAAACAGGCGCCATGTGGCAACGACTCCCTCAGGATTGTGAAGTTTAGCTCGCTAGCATGACTGACTCTAGCATTAGCACATGTTGCTCAACTAAACAAGGAACAAAAAGTCAATGAAACTGTCAGAAACTCTAAAAGTCTAACAGGATAACATTGTAAACTATTTCCCTGATAATCCCAGCCGTCGTCGTTCATACTCATTTGACCAAAAAAAGAATAAAACTAAAAATTACCACCTCGATTTAACAGAGACTCCTATTGGATATCTTCTAGAATAATTGATATGTTGCCATTTATTCCAGTGGCACTGAATAAGTGAAATCAAATGATAAAAAGGAACAGATGAACTAAGAGCTATGTTCAATGTGCAAAGTAAGCGGATTTCCAAACACACAATGCCTGAATCAAAAGGCTGAATTACAGCAGGCTGTGCAAAGGCCTCATCAGTAATCATTCATTTGCTTCATGTGTGTTGCTGCAGAGTGCAGGATTTGCACTAACTTTAGAGTTCATATTTCTAGACTAAAATTATTTAGAAAGCTTGTAGTGAATATTGCACTTCTTTTGCTGGGGCCTGTTGTAAATTAAACAATTTCGGAAAGTAAAAGGCCTTGTCAACTGGTCAATAAATAATCCAGCAAAGTCAACAGTGTTAGCAGTATTCCTGCTAAGGTTTTTTTTGGTTTGTTTGTTTTATACGTTTCATGACTTTTTTTCTGGTTTTTCTCTTGGTCTATATCACCTCTCTTCTGCTCTCCAGCTAAATATCTCCATCTCTTGTTTCTGTTTCCTGTCGTTCCCCTTCGGTGTCCTCACTTACCCTCGCTGTATCCCCTGCTTGCCATGTCACCACCGCCTACTCGTGGCTCAGGACCTGCATATGTTTCCCTAATCACTCCTCACTCTATCATTTATTATCATTGTTCGGTGCTGAATCCTCACTCCTGTCTGTCTACATGCGCCATTCTTGTTTGGAGATTGTCTTTCGGATTTGCAGTTTTGTTTTTCTTTGTTTTTGTCTCTGGTCGCCCGGTACAAGTCATGCATTTGGCTCATTTTAAGATGATTGTACAAGAAGACTGAGGAAGCAGATGAGTAAAGGTTTGAGCAATTACCGACATCTCAATTTATATAGTCAAGACGTCAATAAATGGTGGATTTGATCCTTTTTACAGTTCAACCTCAAGTGGATATTCTTTTAAATGTTGTGAGAGCAGTCAGGAAGCCACTGGCGCTGCCTTCAAAGGTGAAGAAACCACTAGGATTTCAATATAATTTAATGACAAAACTAAGAAGATCCTTTTTCCCGGAATATTTAGAAATAAAGTTCAGATTTGAATGATTGAGGCTAATCCTGCACAACTCCAGGTTTTTATTTTCTTAAAATAGCTTTTTTTTCTCCATTTAGAAAAACAAATCCATCTACAACAAGGTCTCTGATATCCCAAGCAAAGACTCGGTAATAACTATCCTGCACCAATCAGTCCTAATAACCACATTACATTAATAGAAGTTCAAAAGAAGATCTTGAGCGGCTAAAGCAGCGTAAGGCAAATGATGTTCTGAGAACAATTGTTCATGTTTTCTTTCACATAATTGACCTTTTCTTGTCAATTCTTGCCTACTTCAGCTTACCTTTGAAGGCTAATAGGAACAGAGTCAGGACAAAGTGAGACGGATGTGGAAAAGTAAACTTTAACACAACTCCACAACTGTCGCAATTTCTCGCACAGAAAGAGACCGTGTGCTAACTTCCCTCCAAAATATTCAGTCTGAATCAGCTTGGCTTAATTCAATCCTCCAAAATGACAATCTACATTTATTCTATTTAGAACCTATAAGGTAATATT